GGTTAAAACCTACAGAACATCAGTTTGCCGATGTTTTTTAAATTTTGTATTTTTCAGATCCTATCCAGAGTTCAGTTCACTGAGCAGCAAACTTTGTCACCATGGATATCCTCAGCAACGATAAAAGATGGCTTGTGACTCTTGTTGCCTCAAATAAGGTCGTGGCCCCAGTTTTACAGGATATCGTAAAACAAGGAATGGACAAGCTTTATGTTACCCTGGATAATTACCTTAGAGGACTAGCGCCCCTATGCAGTCTACCAACACTGACCTAGGCGGATGTTTGCCGTCTGGCAGCCACTCCAAATCTGGCTTCATCTCTGAAAGACTTGAATTTTGGAAATATTAACAACAATTCTGGTATCCATGGTAAGACCAAAGGGGTCTACAACTACAATGTAAGCAGTCCAGTTGATCTTGCTAAGCTGTACCTCCCATACTGCCTTGCGGTATTCTCGGCATTCGACAAATCTATGGATTTGAGTGCCGCTCTTAGACTTTTGGGATATAGGAAGTATCCCATACAAGTATTCGGGTCAACTGATCCCTTGCAAGATATTCAGTCACTGGCAGATGATGTGAGAAAGAATGTTTGGAATCGGGGAAGTCATTTTAACGAGAGTGACTGGACCCAAATCGTCTTTGACCAATGCTTTGACAAGTTGAAGGCTCTGCTACAATGTCTGCCCCTGCTTCCCGAAAAAAAGAAGGAGCTTTTGGATCACCTTTCTGCAAGGAAAACAGATGGTAATAAAGACTTCTATAGAAGTATTTTGTAACCCTTCAACTAATAGCTTGTTGTTTATATAAACTCTCCAAGTCGAATTTAAGAGAGAGTACAGAACTGGCTTTCCAAGGGTAACATTTCCTTTCCGGAAATTTGAAAACATGAAATGTTTTTGGCTACATTTCCAGTATTTTAGGAGAAAACGTTACCGCTCAGCAGTCAAACTCAGCCCAAACTTTCAGGTCAATAGAAACATCGCTCCAACCCTGTTCGTACTCAGGGCATTTGCATTGACTACTTTTCATCCATAGGGTACATACTCTCTGGCTGGGTATATGCCTGGCTTCCATTCGTGACTCACTGAATATGTTTTTGATCGTTTATCCTTCCAAAATGTCATCATATCAAGCTTAACCGATAGCGGTTTCTATGCTGTTTTCATTCACTTCCCAACTCAGACAAATCTTCACTTCAGAGGTATTCCCTGTGTCAACCTGGTCGTTGGAAATAAGTAAGCGTAACAAGATACTCAAAGGAGCCTGCTACACTGATATGAAGTAGAAAATTTTTTATTCATTGTTCAGGTGTCACATCTAGAGTGAAATCATAAGAGAGTTGTTTCACTATTAATATCCCTTTAAGTGTGATCATCATTTTTAGGTTTCAAGTGGATTGTTGATAATGATGTCAAAGTCTTACTGGAAAAGTTTCAAAGCGTCAAACTTGCTTCAATTAATGACAAATTGGATGACATACCAACTAAGGATGAGAACGAAAGAGTGATAACCAAGCTGTTTTCCTTTCACACCAGTATGATAGACAGATTTGATAGAATGGAATGCTTAATTCGAAAAGTTAATCGCAGGCTAGATGGTAAGTTTATAAACCAAGACTGGTTGCAATTGGTGAAATTCCAGTGGAAAAATATGAGAGGGGGTACTCTTCCGGTCGCTCACCATTTAACCCGCAGAATCGTGTAAATTTTCCAGCAGCACTCGCGAGTGAGTCGGGGGCCACGTGGTTAGATGTACTGTAATACGTTGTCATTGTTGTATTGCAAAAGTGTGCAGTTTTGCTGATTGGATACGTCAGTATTGTTGACACGTACTCAAGTAAGAGTCCTGGAGCATAAATTGTTCCGAACTGGCAGTCACCTTGTTTGTTTTATTATTATCTTTGACAGTAAGGCTTCACGCAGAATTTCTATGATGCACTTTTAATTTTGAACTTGGTTGCATTTGTAAATTTATGCAGGCTTGAGTTTCAGTGCTCTAAATCAAGAAAGTAGCAAGAGTGTTCCCTCTACAGAATCTAGCGTTTTATCTGCAAACGCAAGTTACACAGGATTACGCCAAATGAGGGATAAGGTAACGTAATCTAGTACCTATGATGTTGGAAATTTTTCCGAATAAAATTGTTGGAATCTGTTGACGCTAAACTCGCCATTCCTCTTGCAGGACCAGAACCCAGAATCGACCTGCAAGATAAGAGCTAAAATTGCAAGAGTAAGTCAGTTATTAAATTTATTGAAAGTTCTATGATGTTTATCTTTTATCATGAAGACGTTTAGAAACCTTCGTTTTTTCATCCATTTACTCGTGACCGTCATACATCTCTTGACTGCGTATTTTCATAAATTAGTTTACAAATTAACATGTTCATATGATGGTTCGGCTAAGATAAAACTGATCTAACACAAAAACTTCCATTACGATAGGCTGCAAAAAAAAAACTCATCTTTCAAGTATGGAAATACTTTGTAAATAAATTGATTTGTGTATATCTTTTTCGTATGCAGTAACTGTGTAAATGCCAAGATCCTAAGGTTACGTCTTACTCAGCAACTTAACAATTACAGGGGTAGCGATGTGCGAAGCGATAGACCATCTGAACTCAGCTTGTAAAATAATTGCACACGTTTGATTATAGTTCAAAGTTCGTAGTCGCGACAGAGAGTAGAACTAGGTAGTGCAGTCTAGTGTAGTGCAGCCTATCGTTGTGCAGCATATCGTTGTGCAGGCTCGAACTGAAAACGATAATTGCATACATTTCAGCTAAGATAGCATTGGCTACATAGTCACATTACAGACAATTAACCGGTGCTTAACAACGCGAAAAAGACGAGTCAGAGAAAACTGATAGACAATATTGGTTTCGTAGCGTGACAACACCTCGACCTTAAAAGACTAGTCATTTGGCGATAAAGACAATTAAGGTACTTAAACTTACTTTGGTGACGACTCGCACAGATGATAGCAGAAAGTATCGCACGTGCGTTTTGAAACTTTGTACGTTTCTTAGCCGTCCTTTGCAAAACTACAACCTGAAATCACCAAAATTTGCGTCGTCTGCGAAGCGAGACCGCGGCGGCAAATTATTTTAATTTACATTTGGAACTCAAAGCTACTTTTATGCGTTATGTTGAGTTTGAGGTCTGGCGCCCTATGAGACGGTAAACACATGCAGCCTTTTTCGAAATTCTATCTTAAAGTAGAAACTCATTTTTTAATCGACGTCTTTCGTGGCGTTGCCGTCCTGACTTCTTAAAGTCCCTCTTACTGACTAGTACGGTTATTACGAGTTGCCTTTTAAACCACACGCATACGTGATTACATGTTGGGGCGTTAGTTGAAAAAAGTAACCCTACATTTTTGGAGTGTTAATTCATTTCCTAAAAACACGAATTTAGCCTCGAGAAGCATGAATCTGCAAATTCCTAATTAATGCGTGGTACATCTGAGCACGTTTAACTGAACTTGACTAGAGCTATCGATTGTTACTGAAAAATGTCGTAAAAGCAGGGGGCGTTTTAAAACTAATAAACTGTACTCAAATATTTCTTCTTTTATGACCTACTATCATAAATCTGTTGTGCAAGTCGCCCAACTTCAACTGCGATATTTGGAGATCTTATCTCCTTAAAACATATACTTCAGTTCCTGATAATAGATACATACTCTGCTCTTTTACACTTGAGCTACATTCCAAAAAGCCCTCATACTAATCAACATTAATTTGTAAGTGTAACGATGCATTCACGATGAGTGTTTTACTAGCGATGTGCTAAAAAGAAAACCCGTTTTTACAGCTATCAAGAGAAACACTACACAGAGCTGCAATCGGCGGTCGATGTGATGTTGTTCGTTCACTTCTTGGATTTGGTGAATATGTGGACAAGATGGATAAGGTTGCTCGCTTGATGATTTTACGTTTAAATGTGTCTGTTCTTTCTATTCCATTCTTTTCTAAAAAAGATAAGTATATAACCTTTAACTGATGCATTGCTTTAATTTCTCAGTTTGGTTTGACGCCTCTTCACCTTGCCGCATGGTATGGCCAAACAGCTGTTGCAGAGCTCTTGTTAATGCACGGTGCAAATGTCAATGCCGCAGATAGGGTAAGTTGGTGACCAATCGTGTTTGTGTTTTGGCAATACGTCACATATATATATAAAAAATTTCAGGCAAGCGATCTGATACTCCATAGACTGCTTTAAGCTCTCGAAATTTTTCTTTAATAAATCGTTTCGCGCGCCCAGGAATGCTGATCCTATTGAGGGAATTGGTATAATTTTGACCTTTGAGAACTTTTTCCCTTTCAGTTTCAAAAAACGGCGGTACAAAAAGCTGAACTGAACAATCACCGATCCATTGTTGAGCTGCTTCTGAGGAATAATGCAATTCCCATTTACAATCAACCGGTATGGCGAAGATTGTATTCCACCTTCCTTCATGACTTGTAACTACATAAAACATCTTTCCATACACAGCTCAAGATCGGGTTAAGACATACATCAAGATTTAGCAAAAGCGTCTTTTCATTAAGGATGTTTGCTACCAGTTCGTATGTTTGGTGCACGTCTTCGTATTTATGGTCTAAGCATTTTTTCTGTTACTACCAGCCAAGAGTGCATACGTTGTTTTGTCCCATGTGCGTAGTTTGGTCCATCTCCTGGCCACCATCTCCTCTTCCTCTTTACAGACGTAATATTAATGGTACCATTTGTAGCTGATCATTTCCGGTTGTGTTCACTTAAGGTTCTATTGTCCAATTATGTCACATTTATTGTTTCACATGGTTACCATCTATCACACCTTAAAAAGGGATTATGTCTCAACACCACGCATGCACATATAGAACGCAGAAAATGCAAGCACCAATGGGCCTTTGATAGCCTTTTATATGACTCACAGAATCTAAACAGAGGATAATCTATATGTCTTTCAAAATTATTCAAAGTCTATTACAGCTTTGCCATTTCAATCCTTAATGGTGTGCTAGCTTTTTATCAATAAAAAAAAATCTGCATGATCTGAATGGATTAATGATGTACTAAGGGCTATAACGTATTTTTCATTTCAGCTCAGCCTAATGTCCCTTTCGCGAAAAGCTTTTCTGCACGTAGATGCACGATCCGGTTTCAATCGACTTCAGGCAGCTGTATTTCATGGCGATTATCGAACGGTTTTAAAAGCTCATGCCCTTCTTGATAATTATGTTCAAGACATGAACTTAAAAAAAACAGGAAGTCGAGCAAAGGTTTTTCCTGGTAGAACCGCATCAGAAATTATTTCAGCTCTGCGAAAAAAGGGAGAAGGAAATGTTGATATAGAAAAACTGTACGTAGAGAGCGTTGAGAAGGTCGATACATTAATTGAGTTGCACTTAAGTAAATGTAACAATGATGCAGAGAAGGCTGTGGAGATTGTTTTAAACGAGGGTGTAGATATAAATATACCAGGAAAAAGCAACCGTACACCTTTGTTGTGGGCAAGTCCATCAGCCTCTGGTGAGTTTATCCAGACCCTCATTGATCTTGGAGCTGACGTAAATGCTCAGAGGACAGACGATAAGGTTACACCTTGGTATTTGGCAGCTTCTTGGAACAACTACATGGCCGTTGACATCCTTTTAAAGCATGGAGCCAGTGTGAATCTTCCTAATATCTATGAAGAGACGG